CCCCCCCCCCCCCCCCCAATCTAAATGCTCAAGCAACAGGCTTGTGCGGCAGGTTGCACTCTTTACTCTTTTTTGACCTGCGTGGCCTACTGGGGTATGTTTAATAATTTTACCCTTTCCAGCAGACCGATAGAGACGCTTTTTTGTCAGCAGCATAGTAGAAAAAAGGTCATCCATATGGGCTTATTTTGCATACAATTTGTTTGTAATCCACATTCAATCTGAGACACAAAATATACGTTTATCTTCTATCCTAAATTTAATCAAACAGGCTGTCAAATAAAGACATACCGGTACCTGCAGGACATCTCTGACGTTATCTACTGTATTGTGCTAGCATCGTATAACATTCACTGAGAATAAAATTGGAGCCATTTGACTCTCTACTCAGAGTCCAGCACCCCTTGACCCTCGTGGAGTTAATTTGACTCCTATATAAGGGTCAAACTACCCCAGGGCCAGAGTCTTTACACTCTCTTATCAGAGTCAATCACCCCTTGGCTCACATGGAGTCAAACTGACTCTAAAATTAGAGTGAAATTACCGGGGGTGTAGAGCCGCATTTTGCAACCGACCGCATTTTACAACCGGTTGCAAAATACGTTCAGATGCAAAATGCGGTCCTATATACTAAGTAGAGCCGCATTTTGCAACTGAACGCATTTTGCAACTGCAACGCAATTTGCAACCAAAGAAAATCGTGAAAACGCATTTTGCAACTGCAACGCATTTTGCAACCAGGAATTTTTTTCTAAGTCCCTGATACAGCTTGAAGTACGAAACAGGTAGAATTGGGGTGGGGACGGGTTTGCTTCGACTGTGTTTGCTGTAACTGACCAGGCTGCCCCTGGGGTGGGCGATAATATAAAACTTATTTCACATTGTAATTTCCTAACCATTAGAGTTAGGGAGTCTAAACGTTAATAAACATTTTGTTAGGCATGTGCATGGGATTTCGGATTTTTTTAATTGGGGGTGTGGTCGTCCCTAGGGGTGGTTCATTGTACTTTTTGCTTCGTATTTTTCTCCTATCTACCCTTATATCTTCAGAATTAGGAAATAAAAAAACGTTGGGGATTAATACACTATCGGAAGAAATGTGCATGGGCACTTCGGAAATTTATTGTGACATGGGTGTGGTTGTCCCTGGGGGTGGTTGATTCTATTATTTTTGTTGATTCAATATTTTTTGTTATTTTTGTTATTAAATCATTAACGCATACTTTCGGCTGAGTAAAGACGGGGCAGAGCCCTCCCTTAGCTCGACACTCACTAAGATAGGAATTTGTGACTACAAAGTGAATTCAGAACTGTATAAAAAGCTCCTTGTTTAAAAAAAGTCGGGTATACCCCACACATGACGAATGCTGATGCACATCTGTTTATAGAATGGGTATTTCACAAAAATCCCCTTCCGTGTGCACCCTCTACCAGGGCGACAGTTTGATTTTACCACAGATATTCGCAGATATGCCTATAGATAAACAGACAGTCATTTTGGCTCTCAATTCGATTCAGCAAAAAATGTCCACAATAATAACTGCGGCCCTGGTAGAGGGTATTTCGTGTGTACGTGTCCATTTTATTGATCGAGCTCAATAAATCGATTTCGTAGATACGACAATGGCTGTATTTTATGCAGACAGTGGAAGCCTTTCTAGCCATCAGGCAAATACTTTCACCAACCATCTGATTTCAGCGCAGTAATGGTTTTATATTATCTTAGATATCTTCCCTCCCCCCTAAAAATAAATAAATAAAAATAAGTAAAACGAAAAACAAAGAGAAAAAAGAAACCCACATGTTCGCTGAGTTTAGAAAAAAAATCAGACCATTCACACGGATATTTCCCTATGGTGGATTGCCTCTCTTTAATGGTACAGTATATCAGGTGATGTCACTCATTGATGGAGCATACTTTAAATCAAGAGCGTGGGCTTTAGTGAATCAACCTAAAATAGTTTGTCATTTGATTAAACCGTCGATATCAAATGCGATGTATTCTGTCACTTGCCATACACCCCACGTGCAAGGAGTCTTAACCCCTCCTACTTCACATACAACTTTTTAGAATTATTTTATTTTGAGCAACCAAGTCATGATCGGCTCCGGTTGCAGGTATCATTGTTTTTATGCCCCCCCCCCCCCCCCCAAACACACACATATAAAACAGTGTTGGAAATGTATCGAAGATAGTATACAGCATATATGTAGTGTGATTTTACAAGTGGGCGAAAGAGGTTCACTTTTCGACCCAGCATAGAACTTAGGGACTTGTCTGACTGTTGAATATTGATTATGACCGTTTATTGATGGACAAATGTAATGTGAAAAGAAATACAAGCGTCCATCCTTAAATACTCGTGTGACACTTCAAAATAAGTTTTGGTGAATTTAATATTTAGAATTATTTACATTTTATGGCTGGTAAACAGGGAACATAACGGTATAAAGAATTTGTATGAAGCAGTTTTATGCTGTCAAGCTTTCCGTACCAGTAGCATGTGCGGTTAAGCTTAGAGTCAGCTAAAAACGTTACTTTATAAAAAAAAATCGAATATTCAGTGATAATAGTTCACCACAATATCCCATATTTTCTAGCCCCTGTCAACTTACCTTCTATCCGTATAGCAGTGTAGAAGTTTGTTCCGACACGTAGCCGGTGACTATACAGTGTATGTATAATCTATTGTGCTTGCTACAGTGATGCATTAGATAAGGTGATCTTTTTTTAAAAAGAACTTGTCCCTACAGTATGTGCGCGGGGTTACATATAAATGGTGGGCTAGGGGAATCCCCTCATTTCACGTAGCGGCTATAATTGCATGTACATTCTTGAGTACTGTAAGGTCGTACAGTACGTACGTATCTAGGGGGTCAAAGATGACGCATGTTTTTTTTTTTTTTTTTTTTTTTTTTTTT